GTTGTTGTTGTGGTGGTGGTGGATGTTGCTGTGCAGGCAGGAGAAGCGCAGCATAGAATGCAGTACTTCCTATGCCCGAGGTCGACATTTTTGGATGCAAACGCGCGGACACGGTGGGCGTCGAAGAGATCAACATCCCGCCGCCCGGGTTATACAGCCCAAACTCGTTCAGTCTGATATGCGAGCTGGAACATCGTGAAGACGGTGTCCCCATGGTTCACACCTCGCTTTTGCAACTTGCGGGATGGATGCCCGCCGAAACACTGAAAGCACTTCTTCGCGTTTTGACCTTTGTCTACGTCAGGCAAGATGAGTTTTGTCAATGAAGTAGGATCCGTCCTAGATCAGCAGCAGTAAGATGAACTAAGTCGAACCGCGCTTTTGCACCAGGTTAGAGACCGACTTCACTCCGTATGATCACATCCTTTTCTTCATGGCGTCGTACCTGCAGGTGCGCACGACCCAGCAGCCTGGAGGTCTTGAAAGGTGCTAGAAGCAGGTCTCCAAGCTTTTTCGGTACTGCTCAGGAGCAGAGCACGCCCTTCGCACACAGGCTGAACGACGAGGCAGGTGCCTGCATGGTCTCGAGAGTGGAAGTGTCGAGTTCGACGGGCAGGATGGCCGGGTGACGGATCTCGCTTTCATCGACCAGGACGCTTCACGTGCATGGATAGACAGCACCGGAACCTGACAGCTTGGCGTCCCCCCAGAGAAAGGAATGGAGCAAGACTATTCAATTTCCTGTCACCCGTGTCAACTCTCCCAAGAGATATTGTCTGCTCACGGGGGGGGGGGGAATCTTCAGCAAGACAGGTCTGCAGCCTGAGCATTTCGAGAGACATAGCTCGCATCATCCCATCACTGTCGACTGTCCAGTGTTGTGAGGACTTATGGAAAATCGTGTGCCAATTCAACTGGGTGATTCCATCACAACGACATCACAGCAAAAAGCTAGAAAGTCTTTGATTCACGACATTTGCGGCGTAGCTGTTCCGTGTTCCGAGCATTTCTCAGCACGGTACCGGAAGTACCGGAAGTGCCAACATGTCGGACCGGCGGGGTTTGAAAAAGTGAGCAGACAGCACCTGGAAGAGAAGAGCTTCGTTGCAGTTCTAACCTAGCAACGGTGCTTTGTGGAGGATCTGGATCAAGAGGAGCTCGGTGGATATGTCACATTTACGCCGCCACCGGTGCTTTCCAGCAACATCGCATCTTGGTTTAACTGACCCGGCAGCAGGCTAAACTGCATTTTGTGTCTATTCCGTCCAGCCCACCCTAACCTCTGCAACATGTTCTCTCTTTGAGCCTGCAATGACTCTGTCAAGTAACCTTCTATGAAAACTCTCTGTGTGTGTGTGTCAAGCAACAAGCATGCGAAGATGGCAAGGGTGTTACAGATATTTAGCTCCAATTTTCTCGCTTTCTTTACTTGAAACTTCAGGCCTGAGGCTTCGGTTTGAGACGCTTGCCGCTTGGGCCTGCTGCAGATCTCCAAAGGTCGCCTACCGCGTGGTCTTTTCACAAGACACGATGGGCCTCGTCGACCGCCGGGACATCGTCGAAGAGCCTGGAACCGAAGCTTGCCCGGAATGCTATCGGTGTGCGGCCGTGTTTGTTGTGTGCAATGTGTCCTCTTTTCACCGTTCCCAACCAGCCTGGTGACTGCCCTGCTGAAACGGTGATTGGCGAGCTCGCCTCCCACCACGTGTGTTCGATCCAGGTCACCTCGGCCACTATCCAGGACTCAGCTCCGCACGCAGCTCTTCCCCAACACATGCGCAAGTTTGCACATGCAAGCCTTCAATTACACCATCGATCCCAACATTCCAATTCTCACAACAACCTCAAGCATCGGGAGCTATGCTTCTTGGGCTTATATGCCAGGACATAGAGTCATTCTACTCCCGTGAGGGTTTCCCGCCGGTGTAGGACCTATTCTGCTGAGCCAAAGTTAGGTTGGATTTTAGGAGCACAGAGCCAAAGCGGGCTCAGCATGCAAGGTTCCGAATCGCAGAGCAGTTGGGGCTTCAGGCCAACTCTAGTTGCACAGGAGGGAACGGCGCGGCTGCAGCCTCTTGCCTTGATTGAGAATATTGAAGTAGAGCGAACTCCGCAGGACTTCTGCCTGAGCCCCAAGCACCACAGCACTCGCCGTACTCTACGTAGTCCCCAATCCTTCATCTGCAAGTCTCTCGACACCCGAAGTACAGACTTGGTGCATCTTCACAAGGTGCAGGAAATTTGAGGATTCGAAGACAGATGTGCTGTTAGCTCTGGGCTTCCCTGCTTCGGCCTTGGAAGTGGCAGAATGCTAAATCGATGTAAGGTCTGACTACCTCTTGGTGTTTACGCAGTCCCCGACCACAGAGGGAAGCACGCCAACCTCCATTCCTCTCATTGACAACGCTGTCAACGTCACGAATGCATCTTGGCGTGAAGCTTCGTTTTGAAAAATACCGGCAGGACCCGCATTTGAGTTTGGCTCGGGAGATCTACACATACCTGTGTCACGAACCACACCTCTTCCCACAGCCTGTGCCTGCAGTCCATCCCATCAAAAAAACCCTCGTCATCCGAGCAAAGTTTGTGAGTCAGCTACTGCAGGTCTCCTTTGTGGACTACGACTTGGATGCGGATCACATTGCGGGAGTTCTCAACTATGATCCTCCCGAGGATCTCTCTGTAGCCCCTCGGCAAAGCCCCGAAAGAAGCAACTACAACTGCAGACGAAAGCTGATGTCTGCACCCTAGTAAAGGCCCTAGTAAAGGCCCTAGTAGCGCTGGAAGAAAGCTCAGACTGTCCAGGACGTCCACGCTACACAAGAGATAACTGATGCGTCGATGCACCGCACAAAGGGACGCCTACGACAGATTTCAGCATCTGTGGGACTTGGTGAAGCCTGCTCTCGATGCTTCCTGTGAATGTCTACTTCTGCATTCTGCAAGATTTCTATGTTCCCCACAACTCTCCAAAGGTGACGCACTTCGTGCTCTACCTCGCACGTGCCCCGGCTGCGTTCATAGTGTTGCGTTCCGGCTTGCATCTCTCAGCTTCCATTTCCATCGGTTCTTGTCGCTAGAGTTGGACGCAGTCGAAGATGAACAAATAGTGAAGAAGGATTGTTGGTGCTCTCGAAATGATTACATTGTACAGCGAAAAGGGCGAGAAGCCCAGGCCTGGTGGATGGTCGCTTCGAGCGCGCTCCGTATCCTTTCAACGTCTCTTACGAGGTCCTCGCAGAACTGGACACCCGGCTTTGGTGGGTTGCACAGGTTTGTGGGTGGAGCCTTGGGTTGAAGGTTCGGAAGTTCGGATTTGTAGTTGACAGTGTAGGGTTCTAACAGCTGTGATTTAGCATTGTTGGTGGTTCGAAACGGATCTCGCAAGGCATCCACGGAGACGACGACAACGCAGCAGGTAGTGGATGATGGTGTTTTGGCTGCAGCAATACTAGCTTTATTATGTAAAGGGCTCCCATCCGTGGTGTTCTGAGGAGCCAACACCACAGAAGCAGTTGGAAACACGACCACTAGCAGCACATCGACCACGACCGGGACTTCGACAACCAGCACCTCGACAACATCGACCAGCACTACCACGATGTTTGGTGACACGATTCGGTCTCTCAGCAGATTTGGCAGACCGCTTTGCATGTTGCAATTGCGCGGCAGCAGGGCATGGTGATCCGAGGATGCAAATTCCATGCGACACTGCCATGAGCTCAGTGCTGGCGTGCCCACAAGATTCAAAGCACCGAACACCCTGACTGACACTGCTCGCTGTGTGGCATGAGCTGTCTTTCAGACGTAATGCAATTGTACCGGATCCAGGAGCTGGAAGGATACACGCACCTGCTGCTATACTCAGCCACGGGCTTTGCGGCCCAATTCTCAGATCACCCCGGGACAGTTTTGGGAAGGTTTGTTGCATGTGATGGCTTGCTTTGGTGAGGAGCAGACGTATCCTGTAATCCTGGAGCTGGACAATGCCGACTCTCCCGCCGTGAACATCAGCCACCCGATCTGTCGATGTGTGTCGATTTGCGCTTTGTGTGCTGAGGTTGTGCTGAACGTGGATTCGGGGAACGAAAGAGTAAGTGAGCAAGTTTTGTTATCGAGGCTACATCGCTGAAGATCTGAACTTGGACGACTTGGCTGGTACAGTGGAATGGGACCACCCAGACGATTACTCCAAAGTGCTGGTAGGCGGCTTAGGCTGCTCAAGGGCATCCTCTGCAACCGTTGTTCCGGAATTCTCGACGTCCGAGGAATACCATACAGAGCTTCAAGACGCTTTTGGGAACTCACCTCTTTCGGTGGCCACCACTCCGGTGACCGCCAGTCTGAGCATCGCTGCCAGGAGCTGAGACTTCTTCCGCAACTTTGAGGCTTGAAATGGCAGCATCTTGCTGTCTCAGTTGCTGGAAGCCGATACAGCCTCTAGCATCCACGACATAGGGCCCCTTCTCTCAACTCGGTTCATCTGCTTTAAACCCGAGAAGAGTCCGGTGCACCCTGCCCTTCTCTGGGAATCTTGAGCTGAAGCGATCCTGTCCTCCGTAGCCTGTCAGCCCCAAGCCCTCCGCCCAAGGTGCCCTCCATGCCGCGCTCCATCTACGAGAGACTGGCCATCTACTCTCAGTCGGCGCTGTGCCGATCAACCCTGCCCTCGGTCTTGACGATCCAGGCGTGGAAGGAAGAAGCGATGGAAGGGCATGAAAGCTTGTCAGGCGTAGGGGTCATAAAGATCATAAAAGCGGTTCAGGGGATGAAGTATATCATTGTGCGGGTTGAGCACTCCGGGCTTTGAGGCAGAGAGTGCTGCTGGCTGCAGTGGTGAGTAAGACCTGAGTCTTGAACCAGGCATCAGCAAATTCCGAAGACCAGCTTGAAAGGCAGTGTAGCAGAAGTGTACACCTCGGATAGCGCCAACCCCTGAACGGAAAGGAAGCAGCAGGGACAACTATCCCCCGAAGAAGTCCTCATCCAGGGCGCAACATTGGACTTCACAGTAGCGGACCTCATCCTGATCGATAAGGATCTCGATGAAGGCCCCGGCTGGTGAGCTGAAGTGGCAGCAGCTAAGCGAGTCGGTAGCTTCCAAGCCCCAGCTAAACTGAGCTGAGATTCTCTTCAAGTGTTGGCCGAGAAGAAGGTTTCGATATGTTGGCGAAAATTTGTCTGCTGGTCGGTTTCAGAGAAGGCTGGAGGTAGAACTGGGCTGCAAGGGTAGGTCGCAAGTTGAGCTCCGCCAACCAAGATTTGATGGCGTATTGACTTTGCATGCCTGCGACAGGAGAGATCGGTGGTGATATCACCTGGGGCACCCCAAGGAATCTCGAGCGAGCCAGAACTGTGCAGCATTGTGCAGCACAAGCAGTTTGCTTTCACTCATGCAAGCTACCCAATAACGGAAGATGCCAAGCTGTATGAAGGTATGTGCATACATGCATGCATGCAGGCATGCATGCATGCACGTATTCAAGTATGCATCTCTGCATACAGGCAGCACGTATGTATGTTCTGTTGTTCCTGTCTTATCTTTCTCCCTCCCCTCCCTCCCTCCCTCCCTCCCTCCCTGCCTGCCTGCCTGCCTGCCTGCCTGCCTGCCTGCCTGCCTGCCTGCCTACCTACCTACCTACCTACCTTCCTTCCTACCTACCTACCTACCTACCTACCCACCCACCCACCGAC